TTCTTATTGCTGTGGCTCCTCTTTCACCAGGCGACTCTGACTATGTGTCCTGTACAGTGATACTGGAATGACTCATTTCCCAGAGGGTAACGGAAACCCTGTGTCTGTGAAGATGCTCTGGAAAAATAAGTTTCAGATCAAGGTTATGAAGTTGCTGAACACCAGGGGGAGGGGTCGGTCATGACAGCTGCCTGAATGTGTGACACGGTTGATTTTAGGATGAGATTTTTAATATCTTTGCCCTGCTTCTAAAAGTGAAGTAAAGGAAAGACAGGGGGAGAGAGAGACAGAGGGAGAGGGTGGGGGATGAACGGGGAGAGAAACCTGTGGCTGCTGCAATGCAGTATTTAGCAGAGTTACAATCCATAGAAGGAGCCCTGCCCTCACCAGGACCAGACTGAACCACCCTGACAACTGCCAAACCTGAGTCGGCCTTTTGTCTAAGTGCTTTAGTTGCTCCTAAACAAACACTGTAAATAACCTGAGCACTGAACACCTGCTGAGGTGCTCCACTGTCCGTGTGTCTACAGGTCTACGTTAAATCAGGTCTTTTTTGGGTCAATGCTGGTGAAGGTTACTCTGCATGACAACAAAGATGTGTCTGCTCAGAGCAGAGCAGCAGAGGAGCAGAAGTGAAGTCTGACATGATTAGGAGCAACAGACAAGATTGACAGTAACAGGCTGTGGAAACTTGAGCCGGGGCAATAAACAGGGTCTACGAGATCACCACAATGGAGAACATGTTGCTCTAAGGTCACGCACTAGAGCTAACGTTAGCAACAGTTATTACTGTACAGACACCAGAGCTAACGAGGTTAGCAACAGTTATTACTGTACAGACAGCAGAGTCAATGTTAGCTACAGCAGTCGTTGTACAGACACCAGAGCTAGCATGAGCCACAACTCTTGTAGTCTGTCTTGGTACAGACAAATGTTGTTGTGCAGGTGTAGGGTTCATAATAGCCGTAACTGTACTGTGAGTTTGTACTAACCTATGAATACTGTCGACTGATGAAAAATACACAGATAAATATAAAAGGAAAGGCAATTACTTTGCTCTTTAACTTCTCCTGCTTTGATTCAGTTGTCAACAAAAAATAATTGCAGTTGAAAAAACAAATAACAAATTATCTAATCACCTTGATTTTTAATGACAATCAACCATCAGTAGAAGTCGTACACAGATCTTAGCAGATAACCAGATATAATTTACCCTGTTATAATCAGCAGGATGTTGGTTTAGATCAATTTTATTTTCTAGTTATTTTTTAAAAGTGAAACATACCCCGTGTGAGAATTGACTAAAAGTCCATAAATATTAAACATTTTTCCTCTAATGCACTCAAATCCCATTAATAGAATATTAAAGATATTTTAAAAACCTTTTCCTGGCAGCGGGGTTGGCCCTATCATCTATTTTTCATCTCTTTTTAAATGCAGGTAGAATTACAACCAAATAAGACACCACAAATATACTTTTTTTTATATATGAAACTGGACACTTGAATGTCACAAATGGGTTGGGGAAAAGCCAGTAAAACTACAAAATGTAAACATTAAATACTAGAAGGCAGGTATTTTACAAATGTGATGAAGTTTCCATGGTACCTCACACAGCAGGTTGATGTAAAGGTTGATGTAACACTAACTACTACAGGAACTGTCATTGAAGGTTTTTTTAGCTTGTTTTTTCCCCCACAAAAAAATTGTATCTTGGCTCAGTATCAGATAGTTAGATATTTAGTTGCATTTACTTTTGCAAATGGTCAATTTAGATGTAAATGCAGTCATTTTGCAAAATATCCATAATAACATAATATAATTTTTTTGGACACTGCAGTGAGAGTTTCTATTTAGATATAATGTGTAGAAAACACTTATATTATAATAAATATTATTTAAATTAGGGATATTAGGACTGTAGCTGTGAAGTCCATGATGATAGCACAGTTTTACTACAGTACATGTACAGTTCAGGTTGAAGTTCAGGTTCCTGGGTGAAGAAAGGACCTGTCATTCCCTGTGATCCAGTTCCATCGGTCTGACTGTCTGTGCTCACTGTCCCTGCGCCAAAACAACATCTGATGAGACAACCATGAGTCCTAAAATCAATACCTCCTGGACACAAATTCTTCATCGACACCATCATCGTCCAACTTACACATCCACCCACCCACCGTCGCCTCCCCCCAGTGATTAAAATCACATCAAGCATCCCCAGAGCTAGGGCCCTTCACTTTTAATTAAAGAAAGCAAGCTAATGCAAAGAGCAGCAAGCATCAGAGTCTGCTTTATGGTTCTCTCTACGGCGTTCCCCCAGGGTCCATAAATAATGCCTGATCTGCCACGAGGAACCTGGAAAAACCATAAAGAGATAATGTGTGGTATACGGACGTATGGCAGCAGGCAAGCAGCAAAGAAACACAAGAGAAACACCTCAGGAGTCGTGATGGTCTCAGGTCTTCAGGGAGTAACCTTGAAAGAACCGTGTCCCACATAAATCATTCCTGTCCTGCTCTCACTGACGCTCCACATTCATCCCCCAGCCTCGTTACGATGAGGGATTCCCGCTAACCTCTGACTTCTCCTGAGGTCACTCCTGGCCACGTCACTTTCATTCCCAATCTGATAATTGGAATACGATTCTTTATGGATTTTTTTTTTCCTTCTCTTTTCGGTTCATTCTGAAGCGACCAAGCCTGGTTCTATTTCTGTCCCCCTCCCATCAATTATTTATGAGGCTTGTCAACACTGAAAAGATTACAATTGTAAATGCTGTGCAAAACACAGAAACCATACAAAAGACGGAAGACTATAAATGTACAAGGTATTAAAATTCTTCAAAAGTAGAATTAAATAAATACGTAAATGAATAATTGTTGTGACATTAGCTTCATTTATCGCCCAGCTATTTACGTTAAATAACCTGTTGTTTAATTACTGATATTTATTAAATAATTCATCTTGAGGATTAATCAGACGACAGGTAAATTAGACCTTTATCTTTAAAATCTGAATTTGCGCACAAGCTTTTTAACATACGTAGAACAATCGAACATGTGTTCACTGGTTGTGGAGGAACTATGACCTCAGAAGCCAAGGGTGTAGATGCATGTCCTTCCTGTGTGCACAGGGATTCCTCCAGGCCCCCTGCATACAGACACTGTAAGTGCTTAAATGCTTTACAAAATTAGGTCACGACGTTAGACCACATAGGAAATGGACGGAGCCGTCTCGTTTCTGAGTGTCTTTGCAGAGACAAGCTCCAGACAATCATGGACGAGTGCTGCTGATCTAAGAGCATGTAAATAATAGCTTTCAAATGGTAAATAGAAGAACCTGAATAATGTCTACAGTAGAACTAAAGCACAGCTGTGGATGCTGTGTGATGATATCTGTCAATAACAATGATGATAATGGGTCTAATTTATAGTGTTTCACATCGGATGCTGTCTAAAAACAACAGAACTCTGGTCAGTCCGTCTCCCTGCCTGAGTTCATCAGTGTCATCACCCTCACCTGTGTCCTGTGGTCACCTGTTCATTAGTCTCACTGCCGTCACCTGGTGAACTGGGTATATATACCTCTCTTCCTCGACCAGTGTTTGTTGGGTTGATTGTGATTGTGATGTGTCCTTGTTCCTGTGCTCTCTGTTCCTAGTTATTGATTCATGTCTGTCCCTGCTGTTGTTTCTGCCTGGTCCTTTTTTCAGTGATGTGAAGTTGAACTGTTTGGAAAAAAACCTTATTTTAAATGTATGGTTGTTTGTCAGAATCCAGGCAAAGTCTCATGTCATGAGACTTGATCTGCTCTTGTGAACCACCCATATGTCATGCTACAAACATTATTAATGAGTCCTATAATTACTGTCGATGTAGACGCCCTGTGTTGCATTCAGGTGTTCAGCAAATGAAGAAATCAAAAATGAATCTCACTGCAAGCGTGTGGACTGAACTCTGGAATGGACTGAGTGTTCTGGAGGTGAGCAACAGCATCTCTGCTGAAGACTGGTGGAGATGTGTGTCCCTTTAAATAGCCCACACTGCAGATATGGGCAGGATCGGGTGGGAAGAGGGCAGATGGAGAGAGGCTTTTTTTTTTCCACATCACTTCCCCATCAACATGCACGTCTCTTGGTATGCATAACACGGCTTGACTGCAGCTCGGGCTGAGCTTCATAAAGCAGACCAGCGGCCTCTGCTGACTAAAGACTGCTGTTTAGTCCAACCATCCAGGTTGTGGACATTGTGTCAAAGTCACGTCTCCTCAGTAAACCTTTCAACCATGTTGTTACAAGTCTGTGCCTGAAGATGCTGCTCCAACTGGAGCCATTCAGAGCCCTCCGTGTGTTCGTGTGCAGTGCAAACATGTACTTTAACACATGTGCGGCACAGAATCAGAATCCAAGTCCAGACGGGAGAAAATTGGGGAAATAAACTCGTAATTGACGCGCGTTTCCCCGAGTTTGACTAATTATTAAATCTGGACAATAAAACATTCTTATTTCTGAGATCTGTCCCACCCACTCCCATCTCTCGCCGTCCCACCTCCGTCCTCCATCCTCTGCAGATGTTGCCTCTCCGTTCAGCTCCTCACCAGGACTATTTACCTCTGCGGCTTTGCTGCAGCCGCAGCTCGTCACACAGTCACGCTGGCGGAGTGGGAACATTTCAGGCACATCGTTCTGCTGATTCCAGCATCTTTGGTTTATTCAGGGAAGCACCAGCGCCTCCTAGATCACATCCCTCCTCCTCCCATCTCCTTTTTCTTTTTTTTTTTTTTTTTTTTTTTTTTTTTTTTCTTCCTCC